AGCATCGCTTGGAAGTCTGCAGGGAACTTCAGCAACAGCTTCAAGAGGATCCAATCTTTCTTTCGAAGGTTGTCACTGGTGACGAAAGTTTGGTTTATGGCTACGACCCTGAAAGCAAGCAGCAATCGTCACAATGGAAGAGCCTTTCTTCACCTCGGCCAAATAAAGCTCGACAAGTCAAGAACAACATTAAGTCCATGTTGATCTGTTTTTTTGATATTGACGGGATTGTTCATAAGGAGTTCGTCCCTCCTGGTCAGTCAATAAAAGAGTTCTATCGCGATGTTCTAAGGCGTTTGAGGGAGGACATGAGGAGAAAACGTCCAGAGAAGTGGCGCACGAACGACTGGGTACTCCACCATGACAACGCACGACCGTATACGGCTTACGTTGTGCATGAATTTTTGGCTAAAAACAAGATGGCAGTTGTTCCCCACTCACCGTATTCGCCAGACTTAGGTCCATGTGACTTCTTTTTCTTCCCCAAGATGAAAATCAAGTTGAAGGGGCGAAGATTTTATTCAGTTGAGGAAATTCAAGCGGAAACGCAGATGGTACTAAACACCCTAACAAAGAAAGACTTCCAGGATGCATTTGTAAAGTGGCAGAAACGCTGGGATTGGTGTATGTGCTCCCAAGGGGACTACTTTGAAGGTGATGGTGCAGAATAAGATCTAGGTAAGATGTAACAGTTTTTATTAATATATTTCGGGAACTTTTGGATTGCACCACGTAACTGGTTGTCTTCAGTATTATTTTGATCACATTCACAATAAACTGTGTTATGATTTCTGGAAGGTCAAAATTTCTTAAACTAAATGTGAGTTATTTACTAAACCAAAATTCACTAAATTCAGGAAAATAACACATTGGGTATGAGCTGGAACCATAAAAATATCCACTAAATTGGGATCTGCCTATAGCTTAACTGACACACAAACTTCATGGAGTAACATTCTGATGAAACATCCTACACATCCATAAAACATAGGGATCAAAGGAAAATATAATTCTAGGATGAAATAAATTTATGAGTGAACCATATTTTAGATCTTTTGAGGTACAGTGCATTCTTCCTCAAACATCTGTTTCACTTCAATAATTCAACAACTTTAATAAACATTCGTTAACAACATACAAAAAATATGTCTATAAAACCCACAAAAATATAAAATTTAGAGAATGAGACAACATTCAAATACAACATTTAAGATCTATTATTTATGAAGAGCACAGATCATACAGTTCATTTTTGTAACGTACATCTGCTCAGTGTTTCAAAATAAACTACATTTCCTTTCACAAAAGAATAGTGTCTACAAGTACTACAAGGTCTTCTAAATTAAAATCCCTCATTTTAACTGCCATGTACTGATCCTAGTAGCAATAACTAAACCTAAGTAACGTCACTAGCAAGTGAGAAATTTTACATACAAACATCACTTGTATAAACAAATTAAAACAATGAATGTAGTATAAACACAATGTGAATATGAAGGGGTTCTTCTGGTTGTAATGCCATGTAGTCTGAAGAAAGCTTCACATTTCAGAGGAACTTATCACCTCCATCTTCAACCCTGAAGTCTGTGCTATACATAGTCACTGCTGTGCGAATCTCAGATCGTAACATAATGCAAATACAAGTATGATGGCTGATATATCCCAATATACATGACACAAGAAATCCCTGAAAACCACCAATCCAGTCAAATGTCACAACTGCTTGTTCTGCACACCAATGCAGGGAAGAAATTACATGATCTTGATCAGCAAAAATGTGGGCAAGCAGAGCAATAGGAACGTTTTTGAAGACACCAATGTTTTCCAATTAGCTTGGCTCGGTTGGGCCAAGAGGGGCACAAAAAGGACTCAAATACAAAGTTATGAAAAGTTAAACAGTTCCATCTAATGTGACTGGTGAGTGAAACTAGACGGGACTGCTTAACCTTTCATGACAGACCAGAATGAAACACATCAAATTTGAATACAAAGGGTTAAGAAAACCATATTAGATGAAATACTATGTGACTCTGCAGCAATAATGCCAACATTCTATGTTTCTGATCAGGTCCTTATGCAACTTTTACCATAGCAGGAACCAGGCTGCAAATCAAGAAGCCGGAGTTCCCTGCCTGAGTAAACAGACAACACTGTCACCATACATCTTCTTGTTCCCCCCCCCCCTCACCAAATCATGTATTTTATTTACTGTTAAATATCATATATACATAAATCTGATAAAAATGTATCCTATTATGGCACATAAAACATGTTGTAAGATATTCTGAACCTCTCAAAAACTCTTACAAATAAATGCAATGAACATTCATGGAGGTGAGAAATAAGAAATGAATGTTCCAAATGAATTAGAATATACCTCTAGCTGCAAATATATAAAATACCCATTCCTCTGAGGTTTTTTACTGAAACGGAGTGTCTGCCTAATTCTGTAAAGACATTTCCATCCTTGAACAACAGGCAATAAACTGTATCAAGAACAGCTGTTAGCAGTTGCAACAGTTTCAAAATCTTAAAACACATCTGTTGATTTGCGTAAAAGATTATTACACAACCATGTTTCAATTCATGAAAGAGAACATGAAACAGATACATTATAATGAATTTATTTCCCAGTGACAAAATAATATCTTGAAGAAACAATGATGCTATTATACACAAAATTCTCTGTTATTATATTGCAACGATAGAGAATAAATTAAATGGTCTTTTAACTCAAAACACTTTCAAAGAAATACCTTCTATACAAAAAGGTAAAAATCTCAAATATGGTTTTAATAAAATATCTGTTCTATTTAATGGGCATCAGTTTTGAGGAAATTTTCATATTCAGATTCTGTCATTAATTCCTTCAATTCATCTGGATTTGTGAGTTCAATCTTGAACAACCAACCTGTAAACAGAGAACATATTCTTATGAAAATGCATATAAATTATATCCAGGTTTCATGACTACTTAGGAACACACCAGTGTGACAGAAATTTGGTTTAAAGATGAAAAAGTAACGATATACGAGGGGGTACCCAAAAGAAACCAAACTTATTTTTTTTAACTTATTTATTCAAAATTTTAAGCACAAACCTTCAATCCCCTTCAAAGTACTCTCCACTTACACTAATACACTTGTCTAGTCTTTTATTCCAGTTTTCAAAACATTGTCTAAATTCATCTTTTGAGATGCTTGACAGCGCCTCCGTCGTTTTTTCCTTTCATGTCTCTTTTCATTCAAGGAAACAAATAAAAGTTGCACGGGGCAAGGTCGGGTGAGTATGAAGGGTGAGGAACAGGGGTCATACNGTGGAAGGACGACCAGAACGAGGTTTGTCATCGATTGACATTTCACCATTTTTGAAACAGGAAAACCACTCAAACACTTGAGTTTTCCCCATAGCATCGTCCTTGTACGCCGTTTTTAACATTTCAAGAGTTTCTGTTCCACTTTTCCCGAGCAAAAAGCAGAATTTCACCGCCGCACGCTGTTCACAAAAATCAGCCATTGCAAAAACGACGATCACACAAAACAGTTGTCACTATAAACTCTGCTGAAACTAGTCCTTACCTTCTGAAGCAACGGTAGTCGGCTTATCGACTCAGGAATGTTAGCTCTATGCGCTCATAGCGGCAAAACGTGGTACTACAAAAGCTCTGCCCACAAAAAAATTAGTTCAGTTTCTTTTGGGTACCCCATCATATTTGTGAACAGATCAAATTTATATAAAGGAAAGGCTAAGTATTAACTGCATTGGTTAATTATATTTTTAGCCGACTTTTATGTAACTGTCATAAGGAAATATAGGCATATGGTATCACAAAGTGACACATCTGTCTCCCCCCCTTAAAACCAGTTCTAACCCAAGCAATGGATTTTCATGCAGCTCTACATGAACACCATGTCCCTGGAAGTCATCCCACCTTTTACGTTTTAATTTCCTATTACCAATCATACCAACACAATGGTCATGTGAACTTCTGAGGTGGGAGCAAAACCAGTCCACATATAAATAACACAGATCTATCAAATTTTGTGTGGTAACAGATATTTGAAAAATATGTGTAGGAAATTGTTTATAAAATATAAAACAAGATGACAGCAATGTGATCTCTACATACAGCTCTCTGTCCCAAACAGTAACTAATTCACCACTGAAGCTACGCATGTGGAGTCTTGTACTGGAATACATCCATCACACACACACCCCTGCAAATTCTACATGAGCAACTTTCTCTACATATCATGACATCTACATGCTACAATATTAAGAATTACGAATATTATTATGATGGAAGGTCTTTATGTTATATCTAACAGATTCAATGCATGTCTACTTAAAATATGTAATATGAAAAATTGCACTAAATTGCATAATTACTCCATATTTCTTATTACTCCCACATGCAGAATGAAGGGAAGTGTGTTTCATGAGATCTTCACACAATTTCTTCTCCTGCTTCAGCAACACACAGTGTGGAGTTTTCAACTTCTCAGTATATATAAACAAATGACAGATTTATTTTCTGAAAATGTCTGAATTCTTCTGATCTGACAGAACCCAATCAGAACACATTCTGTGCAGTCTGCGTTGTGAGGTAATGTAGCAAACAACATAACATTAGAAGTGCTAAGACAGTTAGTTCATCAGAAAGAACTAATGAGACTATGTCTATGTCTCTCTGGCTTATCACCCGACAATAGAAACATTAACGAGCTTTCAAAACATCGTGTTCTGAGCAGAACGCTGTATGATGGGTAAAGTCCAGAAACGAATGTTTATCACATTCAGCACCTTGCATTAATGAAATCAGGCTGCCTTACACCTTGTTTGTAACAGCGAGTCACACTCATTTACAAATGCCTGAGATGCTGGAAAAGTAAGTATTTCATTTTGTCATACCTTTTTCATAACAAGACTGGTTTATGAGAGCAGGTGTTTCCTCCACTGCAGCGTTTTTCTCTATAACTCTGCCTGACAGGGGACAATACAGTTCACTGGCCGCTTTAACACTTTCTAGAGCTCCACATTCATCTGCAACATAGTAAAGTGTACACAAATAACATGATAAAATATTATTGTAAGAGGCCATGGAGGCCCATAGGGTTGTGTGACTTCAAGGCTCCCACATTTTCTAGACAATCAGCTCACAGATGGCAGTAAGGTTGTCAACCTTATGCGCCAGCAGCCCTTTACACCCCAGGAAGATTCCTGGTACTCACTTCTGTTAGAGTCTGAGTCGATCCCAGGGCCATGGTGCGACTGGAAGGATTAGGTCAACTGAAAAAATCCACCTCATCAGGACGCAAACCCATGACTTTCCACCTTGTAGCACAGTGCCTCAACCAACTAAGCTACTGCATGCCCCAAAATATTATTGTACACAATGAAAATATAAAATGAATATGTTATCATATGTCAGTGACCAGACACAGGTGTTGGATTGATGCTTGGGTTTACCGAACATCTTCTAACTACAGATAACTATAACACTAATGTTAATAATTTATACACTTAATAAATCACTACAGCATACACTGAGTCTCAGTCTGTTATGTCTTCACTGGCCATTGCAGGGTTCCTGTTTTCACCAAAAATCGCTAGATTATGAATTCTAACCAACCATAAACTGTGCGCTGCTCACTTACAGCTAGCAAACCACAGTCACTAACCAGTGACTTGAGACTGACTGGCTTCGGTCGGTCAGTCCGTTACATAGCCTTGGGTTGGACCACACAGAAAACACCGTTTCCAATACATAAGTCATCGTCACTGACATGCTGGCTAGCCATCGCCTAGTAATGGCAACCTTGTTTATCAAGCCATTCCCATGCAACAGACAATATTTAAGTAGTCATGTCACAATATTAATTTCAGGATAGATAATAAGAGGAAAAGACAAAGAGTAAAACAATTTTAATTTACTGTAAAACCATTTTTGGAAGCATTAACCAAGATGGGGGAATAAATGATATATACATTTCCTTTATTTTCACACTGAGTAGATCCTTGATTACCTGCAGGAATTCTGAGATCCTTTAGGTACTCAGTACAGCCTTCTGTAATGGTTTAAGTTTTGCCCATTACATCTGTTTAAGTAATATGTATCAGTGATGTCTTACAATGATTTGCTGTAGACTGTACATCTTCTCACCCTGTTTCAACTTTATTATTTTATTGCTATTCTGGCTCTACGATGGCTGCACAAGGTTTGCTTTCTACTACTGGAAATAAGTGTCTCACTTTCTGGCGAAAAGCCCCACACCAGTAGGTAATAATTCATTTTCAAGAGTGAACACAACATGGATACTGGGGGTATTTCCGCAACTTTAGAAATTTATTTTTTAAGAACAAGATCCAAATTATATTCTTAGAACCTGCCTTGAACAACGTGTTCCCATGGTTAGGTTCTCAGTTATGTTTTCAAAAAGTCTGGCCTTTGGTTCAGTTCTCAAAAGTTTAGGATTTTGATTTGCTTTTACAAATGAACTTGTACAGATGGCAGCACTAACATGGCAGACAACACAGTGGTAAAGTTTCAAAGCTACTTGGGCCACCCATTAACATGCAGTATCAGTGAGTACTTCCAGAGTTTTGCATTTTGCCAATCTTCATTCCTTCCACATTGCACAACTGTATTTTATAATTGCTTATTTAATGATGCTTTCAATGGCTCAGATTATATATCAAATGACAAGATTACAATTACTGTATTTTTGGACATTATCCATCCTGTTTTTTATTTCAAACACAGAGTGTTTCAGAGACTTGATTCTGTCTGTTGTCATGTAAAAATCCATTCAGTTTGGCCCATCATAGAGTTAGTCTGGAGATGGGGACTAGCTCTATTGATTGGGCCCAACTGAGTAGGCTATGAAGAAAGCAGTCTTCTGGGATTTGGCACCGTGTATATGTGGTGTTAACCGACGTTTCGGAGGAACGTATCGCCTCCATCTTCAGGGTAGAAGAAAAAATATATGAAATCTGCAAGCGAAGAGACCGTGAGAACCGGTAAAAGCAGACTGAGTAGGTTTTACTTGAGGACAGCGACAGAATCCAGTCTCCGAAATGTTGTGTTTTAAATAAAAAGCAGGACACTGGATAATGTCCAAGAACAAAATAATTATATTACTATAACACTGTCACAAATTTTGAGATCTTATTTACATGATTAGTCAACAGCGAATTGTAAAGGATGCAGATGGAAGTTGTGATCTAATCCCAGGTACTATCCCAGCATCTGCATCAAGGAATTGAAGATCATAAAAACACCTCTGTAACAACAGCCCATCTCTGAGCTGAAATTTGAAGCCAAGATCTCTCTAACATGAAGATCGTGTGCTACCTACGTCATTCTGACATTCAGTGTGTCTGTGCGTGTGCATGCATGTGCATCTGTGGTTTGAAAGTCACTTCTCTGCTAAAGTGGTATATTTACCTTTCTTCAGGACCTCAGTGCCTACATCAGGTAGTTGTGCGTACACGACATCACCAAGGGCATCCTAAAAACCAAAAACAATGCCACACTGAATGAACTACATGAACAGATTAACTTAGGGGAAAAATCTCAAGACAACAGCATCTGCCTTTTCAAACTAACATACCTAAGCAATGTAAAAGAATTATGAAATCCCAGAACTTGAACAGGTTAAATATAATAGCACAGAAAGTATGAAAAAGACACTGAATGATGGTGAATTACTCCAACTTCTACCTGAGAAAATTGTTGAAACAACAGTTGTTGCTACATTTCCAATAGCTATTCCAAGCATCAAACAGACTTTGGCTCAATAATACTAAGACTAAGAAAAGTTATCCCCTTCTGAATTTGGATTTGACCAAAAAAGCTCTGCATGATTACCAATTCCTAAGCTATCCCCTTCTGAATTTGGATTTGACCAAAAAAGCTCTACATGATTACGAATTCCTAACTTATCCTCTTCTGGATTTGGATTTGACCAAAAAAGCTCTGCATGATTACCAATTCCTAACTACAGGTGGCACTAACATTGCAGTAAATAACCACAGTCCTGTAATGATTTTACGATCCCTTATAAACAGCACTCAGCTATGTCCACCTCAGAACAGCACTGGCCGACAGTCACATTGCCAAATTTTGTGCTTTGTGGATCACCTTACGATTCTGCTGCTGGATATACCAGTATGTGATTTGATTGCTGCAAGCTTGCAAATGCATGCTCTGACATCTGGAGTTGAAATAAAGAAGTGATAACAGGAATGCATTTCTTAACCCAAGCTTAGCATTGTTGAATCACATGAAGGCAGAGAGTGAAACCTTTAAATTGTGGCAGGACTGCAGCGATTGAAATGTTGGCATCTGTATCAGCTCCTACTTGCTTTCCTGCTATGTAATTAGAAAGATTCTCATTCCTGGTTATTATGTACTATTATGTTTTGATTTTAATTATTTATTTACATAGCATATCACCCCTCAAATTTAATGCTTTTTTCATACACAGTTAATTTTCTTTTGTTTAAACTAGCATAAAATACACAAAATGAATCTAACTGGGCACACAGAGCACACTGAATGGTTCTAGTGCTGATGACAGAAATTCAGTATCAAAATGGAGTAGCATGAAGATTATGGGCTTCTGGGATGTCATGTTATATTATTTTCTCCAAAATATCAGTACCTATACATATACCAAATTCCACATGTTCAAGGTTGCATTCTTCATACTCATTGCTGTGAGAACTTCAGACATAATATTTCATACAATTTTGTAGCACCAGATAAACAGAATGCCACTAAAAGACTTCCCACATTGGACCTCTAGTTTCTTCACAGCCCTAAAAACGGCTTATTAATAAACTAACCTGTGCATAGTGAGAGATGCCAACTGTTCCGGTTTTCCCATCAATTAAAATCCATTCATGTTTGTTGGTATACATGCGTTCTGGAAAATAAAATACAGTTTTATGGGCAATAATTTAAACTTCATGGCACCAGTGCACAGTGCCTACATAAGTCCTACGGAAAGACTTCCCCAAAGCTACTGTACACAGCGTTCAATTTTCTTTTTGTTGTTGGCTACATAACAATGTTGTTAGTATTAAGACTATGTAAAGGTAAAAAATGGTGAAGCTACCCATGTAACAGGCCATAAAGGCCCATAGGTTTGTGAGATGTCGAGGCTCCCATATCTTCTAGACAATCAGCTCGCAGATGGCGGTGAGGTTGTCAGCCTTACACACCGGCCGCCCTTTACCCCCAGGAAGATTCCTGGTACTCATTTCTGTTACAGGCTGAGTTAACCCCAGGGCCATAGTGCAGCTGGAGGGATTAGGTCAATTGATAGAATCCACGTAATCAGGACTTGAACCAATGACCTTCCAGCTTGTAGCATAGTGCCTCAACCACCTATGCTACCACGTACCCCATTAAGACTATGTAGCATCAGATAAAAGGATGATTGTTGAATGATGGATTACTAGGGATTTGGAAGGAAAAGGCTGCAGCATATCCAGGTATTATCCCAGCTATCGCTCAGAGGGACTGAGGGAAATTTCAAAACTTCAGTCAGGATAGCCACTGTCCCACCCAAGATTCAAACCAGGAACCTCCCAAATGTAAGTCTAGGGCATTACCACTAGACAAACTTACTCAGTATGGCTTTCACAGAATTTATTGTTCTTCCTTAACAGTCAGACAACACTATTATGCACCTACTACATTAACAGATAACTTTTCTTTCCATCCATTAAAAACAAGGTAAGTTTGAAGCAGAGCAACAAGTAAAATTAGAGCCAATGCTGTATCTGCAGATGAGCTAAGTGTTTGGCTTACAGCAGGGGAATGCGGTAACGTAGTTGGTTGAGGCACTAAGCTACAAGCTGGAAGGCCGTGGGATCAAATCCTGATGAGGTCATTGGATTTTTTCAATTGACCTAATCCTTCCAGCTACACTATGGCCCTAGGGTCGACTCAGCCTCTAACAGAAATTGAGTATCAGGAATATTCTTGGAATATTGTTGGAGGTAAAGGGTGGCTGGCGCATAGGGCTGACAAGTGTCAGCCGAGTGTCTAGAAAATGTGGGAACCTCAACATCTCACAACCCTATGGGCCTACACGGCCTGTTACAGGGATACCTTTACTTTACTTACTTACAGAGGTACAGCACATCTTTAAGAAGACCACTTAAAGCTAGCTTAGACTGTACCCAACTGTGCCTGCTATCCCCATGTGAGGGGCTGCTCTATATACATATAAGCAAGAATGTTGGCAATAAATATTATCTTCTGTTATATGAGGTTACTATTTAGGTCATCTTCAGTTTCTTTTTTATTTTTTTATTTCTAGTGGGCTGGGACTAAGTCCCTTGTACTGCGGCCACTTCTGGCCTATTGTACCAGCCCCAGATAATAGGTGAGGGTGATTGTGAAGCAATTGGTGGAATGAAGATTGGCAGGGGAAACCGAAGTACTCAGAGAAAACCTACCCCAGCACCATTTTGACCACTACAAATCCCACTTGACCAGACCCGGGATTGAACCCGGGCCGCCGTGGTGGGAAGCCAGCGACCAACCGCTTGAGCTATGGTGCGGCCCATCATCTTCAGTCGATCTACTTAAGGTACTGCTGACGACCCAATTTGTGAAAGGTGCCTACAAGAAGATGAATCAGCCACACACATCTTACATGATTGTGAGGCTGTAGCCTACCTCAGATATTGTCACCTGGGTCAGTTCTTCATGGAACCAAGTGACTTTTATGATGCCCCCATAAATAAGGTCCTACATTTCATTCAAAGTGTAGGATTAATAAATGGTTAATCCATAGGGGAAGCACAATAGATCATTGCAGGTCGCCGTGCGAGGGCCGGTTTCTATGGCTCACTCCTCATACTCATAAATAAGGTACTGCTGCTTTATCTAAACAAATGAGAATTCTACCGAGTCTTTCCAATTTAATCAATTTCTTAAGTGAACATGTATTAAAACAAACTATGGAACTGACATACTGATCTGCGTTTGTGTATTATATATCCAAGTTACAGTTTTCTGGATATAAACGTACAACACTATAAATGGATTGAATGATGTAATACTTTGTTTAGTGAGTTGAGTTCTATTACAAACACAGAACTGTGTCCATGTAACACCAGTTCTGGATTTACAAGTCAGCTAAACAAGCTACACCCTTAGGCATCACAATCTGAGGGACCTCCAAATAATAAATAAGAAAGATTTGAGGCTTTCACGGCAGTGACTACGAAGAATGCTGTTTTCTGGGATGTGTAGCGTGTAGATCTTGTGTGAACCAACATTTTGGAGGAATGTATCACCTCCATCCTTAGGGTCGGTTCACACAAGATCTACACGGTGCTACTTCCTGGAAGACAAATTCTTCAATAAATCAGAAAACTCACCCAAGAGATGGTAAACCTTGGAGGATAATAAATATTTTGATTGCACGTTGTCAGATTGGAAAGATGGAAACAACACACACAAGAACAGCTGCAGGAATTGAAAATGAATTGGGAGGTCACATTGCACTTCATGGTGCAGCTGATTGTTGCCAAGCAACATTTTTGTGAAGTCCCACATACATGGACACATGGTTCATTCTAATCTTTTGATTTTTATGATAGTTTAATACCTCAGATGTTCAGAGTTAATTTATAAAATAAAGACAGTAGCAATTTATTGTCAATTCACTCCAGGTGACTGACTTCAAAACCTCCTAAAAGGACCCTAAATGGCTTTGAAGTGAATGCACTGTGTATGAAATTATGTTTCATCAACATGCAATCACCTAATGAACTAAATGATTAATTAAAGGTCTAACAATAGTTCTGAGGTAAGATGTTGCACCTTTTCAGTTTCATCACTAAGCATGTTTTGACCAGTGCTGGTGTCATTTTGTTTTATGAAATCACCACAGGGTCCGTGGATGAGGCAAAGATAAGGTTGTCCATGTGCTTAACTAATTAAGCGCTACGCCATGCAGACATAGGGGGGAGTGGATGTATAGATCCACATTTTCTTGATTCGGACACTAGTTGGATGTGAGTGGAACTTCATGTCCCAGCCACTTTAGCCCCAAGGAAAGGTCGGTGGAAGAGATAATCCATATTTTTGGACTTCACTCTAAATGTTGAACATCTGACATACTACTATCAACACTACTGTCTAATGTCAACTATAACCATAGCGCCTAATCTAACATAACCTAAACTTAATGTTGATAAACTGACCAACTAAAAACTTCTAAAAAAGCAGACAAAAATTAACCCTCAATGAACTTTGCAGACATCTGTGATTTAATTTTATTTACATTATATACCATACTTTATAACCAATTATATTAAAAACAAATACAATACTGTATAACAACATACACTGGTTTGAAAATTAAAAAAAAAACTGCTTTATTCAAATGCAGCACGCAATGGAAACGAAGATAACATTCATGTTATCAGATCTTAATTCCCATATTATTCTATTTTTTATACATAATGTTACTTAATGCTATAGAGCATGCACCTAGTTCTACTGATACTCTGCTGTGTGGTAACTATTCAAATTGATACTGAAATTGTCTACAAACCGGCATAACAAGTAAGGGCCGTAGTGATGGTTTTGCAGTTTTGTAGTGATATACTGGGTGTTTTAACATAATTTTTATGCAATATACCCAGTATATGAAACGACCTAGAAGTCATCTGTCTTGTTTTTGTACCCACTTGAAGACAAAGATTCATTTTTATAATGCCTCCCTTTCCTCTTTGATCGAAACAGAAGACGAAAACTACCAATACCAATCCACTTATATTTCGAGTATGGTCCTAACTCACGTGACCAAACACCTTAAAGGTTCCAGTATGTCCAAAATTACAGCATGTGGCTAATAATTACACATGATAACTTGTTACAATATTTAAATATGAAGGTAAGTGTAAGTAGGAAATACACCAATCACATTCTCAACATTCCTTTACCACATGTACTACGCACTCCACCATGTTCACATACGTCATAAATTACGTTTAAGCAGGGTCCACGTTACAAGATGCGACTCGAGTCCTAACGATGGCAATGTTACTTGACGATAACTTTTAACATTGGCTGTCTTGGATAAACATTATGTACGCTGTTTCGGTGGGTGTCTTTGACCCCGTCAAGTCTGATAAGTGTATCCTTTGTCACTGCGTCGAATGTTACATTCGGCCAATTAAGGCTTGTGACAAAGAAGTTCTACATGCATGACTTGACACTTGTGGCTTACCAACGTTTTGGAAGAACTTCCTCCCACCATTTTCATGATAGAAGCTAGATGGAGTCATCCCAAAAGACCATAATACAATTTTTCAGACTAAACATTTTCAGCCTGATGTGTAACTGTGGCCTTCAAGAACACACCATATATAGAACGTTTTTCTTTTTGTTTTGGCAAACACTGCAGAGGCCATGAATATTTTGGAGCTACACACTGCTTCCATATTGTGCAGAAGAGTGACTTCCCTGATCCCCAAATATACAACCAGTCCAGACCTCTCCTTTTACAGACTGCAGTCTGTTCTTGGGAGTGGTGAGTATTGCTATGACACACGGGGACCAATGTGATTATTACCAGTTTCTTCTTCTTCTTATATACATTTATGTTAAAATTTACATTATTATTATTATTATTTCCTAAAATGAAGAAATGTCACTGCTCCATCTTACTAGCAGTGAATTTGGTCTAGTGTCTAGAAGTCCCACAATCTTACAGTAATCTAGGGCTAACTGTTCCAGATCTGTATGATCTTGGGTCTCATTGAGAGCAGTCCTAAGAAAGATGATGACCCAATGCTGCAAGTGGTACTTCAAGGCTTCTTAGCCCTGACAGGTTGTCAGGCATATCCAGGTCTGGGTCATCAGCTGGGACATTCCTGGGAGAGGTGGCTGGTGCATAAAAATTCAAGTGGAATGTCCAAAAATTAGTCTGTACCTTGCTGGTCACAATAAAGTGCTGCAGGCTATCCCCTGGTGGTCATGATGTAAAGACAACCTGTGCTCAGGTGGTGGCTTCTCAGTGCTGAGCCTCAGGTTCATCCTGAATGACTTCACGTGAGATGAGCAGATTTTTCCAATTTATTTGAGTTTCCATTGCTGATCACCATTTTACCATTCTTCCATACTCATACATCAATGTCCTGACCAAGCAGCACATCACATCCACAGTGTTGAAGTGTGGGGCTTCATCTCTGATCTGGCACCTGGCTTGTTGCAGAGAAGGGATGCTGATGTTATTAGGCCAAGCCTTCATCATATTTTACTTTTTGCAGTTTTGTATAGCATTATTTATAAAGGCAGAACTCTGAACTCAAAATGCCACTGTGTGATCATGAACAATTCAGAGCTCTGCGTAGAATGTTTTACATTCATTGACAACATTTCCTTATTTCTTTAAAAAAAGAAAAGTTGTCCCCATAGATCCACATTTTGACCTTGGTACTTGCTGGAGGTGAGTGGTCAGCTTTACACCCCTGTCATTTTACTTCCAGGGAAAAAGCCCCCAGTACCCATCAGATAGGAGGTTGGTTGGACCCCAGTCAGCCTGGACGTGGAGAAAATTCTTGACCCTAGTGGTGCTTGAACTCCAACCCATAGCCAGTCGCTATACCGACTACACTATCATGGCTCCCTGTTTCTCAAGCACAATTCTTTTTACATAAAAGTTGTTTTGGCAACACTGCAGTGAGCATACAGAAAACATGACAACTATACTTTTGATTATGACCTTTCATTTGGGTCATCTTGGCAGAACTTTGGTTTGAAGTTATCTGTATAAAAACAATGTGAATTACACATTCTGCCTTTTTTTTTTTGAAGGGTCAAAGTATCAATTCTGGAACAGATTATGTAAAACATACTGTCACAGAACCTTATATACACAGTACAGCATGTGTAACATGAGATTCTCATGTCAGTGACTATGAAGTTCACTGCCTTCTGAATGATGTGCTGTGTAGAAACATACTGCCTCCATCTTCAGGTTAAAAGGCTACAGTGGGGTTGGGAAAAGATATGAGGGACATAATATCACTATACTGCAACAATCACGATTTTTATTACTGAGGTAAACAGTTTAGACAATCTCTCCAACACATATTATTGTTCTGAATGCAACACTGTACTGCACTGATAAAAAAAGAACTTCCTGTTTCTTTTGCCGTCTTCACAGAGGGATCAGATAATGGACACAATTCACATTAAAATACAAATGTTCTGCCATTATGATGTTTTCCTTCATTCTGCATAATTTACTAGTCAGCACTTATCAATGTTTTAACAGCTACATATTCATGTGTATGAATAACACATACCTTGTCAAGCATTCAAACAATCACGTCTCTGCCTCTTTTCTGATCATACAGTTTTCCTGAAGAGTTCTTGAGTAACTGTAACTAATATGTAAAAATAACAGGATGGAATTCTGCGCTGATTTTGTGGGCTAGAGAATGACAGACAAGTTACATAACCTATACCAAACACAATCATGGCATATACATTTAACAGAAACTGGAAAAGGAAACACCTTCACTTACAAACTGATGATGTATAAGTTCATAAAAATATGATGATTGTAACTCTGTGTTCAAAGGGAAAGAACTTTATTTTCCCTTCCACCACCTCCAGTGCCACGTGTCATCTCCATTTGATGGGTTTCAGACATGCACTCTCATTCTATATCACACAAATCCAATAATTTTGAGTGACATTATTTCTATTTTGTTCCCACCTTATCAGGGTCTTGTGAGCACTGAAAATGTCAAGGGCTATGCTGGTGAGAACACAGTTAGTGGCAGTGTGTCCCTTGCTGGACAGACAGAGACACGGGTGCTAGACATATTGGAATATTCTGGTTCTTCAGGTTGGGGCTCATATGGATGGGCTGGTGTCTCTACTTACTGAAAAATTTGAATACTCGTACTTCACAGATGAAACGTGTATGTGAAGTCTTTAAGAGATTGGACTGTCCATGCCATAAAGTGAAGATTTTTTTTACTTCAGATTTCAACATTGACGTAATATTAATCAGGGACAACACATACATGAACACAGGGTTACCCAAGAACAAACATGAATACATAAATTACACCTTAAAACAAATGGTGATCGTTAAATAACACATAAAAGTGTAAGCACTTAAGTAAGAAGTGTTTCTTGTAAAAGATGACCTAAAATGCTGTGTGTAACATCCATTAACTTACTGTTTAATGATGCTTCTCAGAAATGGTTGGCTGTTCTCTCCAAACAGCTGTACAACTTATCTTGGATGATAAGAAGTTTGCACTCAGGCTGTACTAGTGTTTTGTATTCATCAGCATAAAGGGGCCTCGTCTTTTTCTGTGGTCTAATTATAATTGGAAACAACATTTTTTGAGAGGAAGTCAGAATTAAAAATTTGTAAGAGTTAAAAGAGGAAAATTATGATATGGCCATGTAAATAGAATGGACTTAACAAAGATACCAAGAAGGACATTAGAATGAAATTAAAATGAACGAAGCCTATATGATCACCCATAGAAAGAAGGTTTACCCAGGTACTCTGAGGCAGCAAGTAAAAAGAGCTGGCAAGATATCAAAGAGGAAAACCCGTGGCAAGAAGGAAGAGGCTGTACATTTTTCATAGATCAACCTGCACAGGAGATAATAAGTATGCACAACAAATTTCTTCTATGTTTCTCTTTCTTGTAAGGAGTCAATAGCTGAGAGGAAAATATGAGGACATAATGCTTTGGTGTACAAGGGTTTGTTTGCTCCCAACTCTCTTGCCATTCAGACCACACTGTGTACATACACTTGTTCCATGATGATCTCAACACTTACAGAAACACTTTTTTTCAATTATTACATTATTTAAACCCCGAATAAGATATTTCATAATTTTGTGATCAATTTTCTCCATAAATTTCTGTTAAAGAGCCAAGTATTTCATTACACAAGAGCAAATGTGATCAAATTCCAATGTCACTGTCTTCCGACTAACAGAATAACACCCACTGTATGTTTTTCTGTATATGAAGGTTATTCAAATGAAACCTGTGAGCAAATACAACTGGCTGCTGGTGATCACATGACTGTGCATAACACACCAGCAGTTGAACAGGTACTGCACAAAAAAAAAAAGGGGGGGGCGCAGGACAGCAAATGGGTACACCATGTCACAATTCAGTAACAGAATTCAAGATGCAGAATGTGTCCAAACAGGACCAATGAGTTGTCATTTTGTTTCTTGGTGCTGAGGGTTGATGCTGGCATTTAAGGACACTGACATCACCATCAACGCACACAGCTATTACAGAACACTCCATGACCTTGTACTACCATCAAGAGAAAGCATGTTGCATGACAATGTCTGTCCCAATATGGCCAGTGTCCAGGACATACTGCACTCCACGCACTAGGCGTTGGGCCATCCTCCACAGTCTGGGGCTATCAATGCCATTTTTTTGAGTCAAACACGTCAACGCCACAGTGGTACATTCATTCTCGTAACAGTTCCTTGCGTAGAGGATCCATCGGCTGGTGTGTCAATGGGATGTCTGCCTCAATGCTCATGGGAACTATTTTTACAAGCCTCTACTTCTCTGCCCAGAACAATTCCCAAATGGGTTTCATTTGTGCAGATTTTCTGTAGTGCAAGATTCATGTTGCTTCTATCACAGACCAATGGTGTATGACCTGCCATTTGGATTATGTACAGGTACAGGAATGGGCTTTGTGATACTCCATTCATACCACACATTCTTCTTGCTGCACAACCTCCAGAAATGCACCTCCAATTCGTCACCGCTTCGTAGCTGCAAAGGTTCCTGGAATTAAAGAAATAAAGCAGGAGTTTTACATCATTTAACGCTGCAAGAATCTGAAACATCTAATTCTTTCATCTCATTATTTTACAGACTAAACAGAAAAATATCTGATAACTTAATCCTCTGATCCCAATTTCATCCAAATCAGTCCTGTCATTATCAGTTGAAGATTTGACTTCTCAACACTTGGAACACTTTACAGTCTCCTGGGATGCGACACTACGCAGTCTGGTACAAATTCACTGACATTTCAGGTGAACATGCTCTCTCCATATTTAGTAAGCCAAGCAAGAAACTAGCAAGAAGCAGACAGCAAGCTGAATGCCTCTCAGGCTTCTACCAGATCACATAGTGGCACATCCCAGAAAACAATAGTTTTCCAAGTTTATATGTTCCAGTCACTTTCTCTTTCATTAACTGACTGACTAATGAACCACATATAGCTGAGTCCTTCCTGAGAAGCCACCAGCTGCTCAGCATGAATTTCCTGGCATTTTATGGAACCCACAGGCTCATTACTGTGTTCACATGAACCTCTCATTGGTCTCTATCCTAAGTCAGATGAATCCAATCCGTAGCACCCCATCCTGTTTCTCTTAGATCAATTTGCTGTCTTTTTGCTTTCCACTTTCATATACTGTAACCATGCAAGCATTAGCTTAGATATAAAGTTCTCAACCTAAAGACCAAAAATGCAATACTGCAATAATGTGTTGCTTCAGCAAGGCTGTCACACCTCAGTGAGCAGTAACTAATGTGTATACGGCAAAGGCAGAATGACAATTAGCAGAAGAACTCCAAAGAAACTTGGTGAGAAAAAATGGCTCCAGTGCCATGTTGCCTACCATGAACCATGGTGTCAAATGGGACTGAACTTCAGATACCATGGTCAAAAACCAGTATCCACCCACCTGAGCTACGGCATGGCCACTGTAATCTTCATTATCATCATTAACTCCTCCTTCAACATGTCCACTCTCGTGTGGGCCATTTACTGTAACTCACATGCTGACCAAATTTAATGAGTCTTTAAAATAACATAAAGTAGAAATGTACTTACTCGAATGGGGAAGAAAATGGGAAACCAGCTAAACATTCCTCTTGAATGAGTTTCTGGTACAATACTGAGGATTATATTTTTGTATAAAACTGTGTCAAAGTAACCAGAAAAGCCATGCAGCACACAGTTCTGAGATATCTTGAATGACAAGCATTTGTACCTCGTGTTGTCACGTACCGCATCTGAAACAACAAGCAAGTAGCTTTCATTCAGCAGATTAAGATCCATCACTGTATGAGGTCCAAGGTTTTCTTGGCGCTGAATGCTTTGAAGATCATGATCTCCTGGGATGCAACACCAAGCAGTTTTGTGGAATCAGTCTTCTGCACGGTGGTACCTTTGGTTTATGTACTGAGACTGTCAGCACCTCACACTACAGAGAAGCGACGTGGCTTGTAATGAAAACTTCGTTATAGTAATAAAAACCAACAGAACTGCGAAGTTCTTAACATTTTGCGGACTGGCAATTTAAATATTTAATTCACCATGCGACCACCATTATTAAACCTACTATCCTAACTTGTGCACTGTTCACTTTAAAAATTAATATAAAATCTCCTAATTAATTTCATGAACTAAAATTTTTGGAGAACACTTACCAATGCTCCTAGAAGTGCTTGAGAGTGTGATATTTCTGGAAACATTCCCCTTTGTGAAGTGCCATTACACAGAACTTGCAATGTAGACATACTCCTTTTTTTGTGAACTGCGCAAACACGGCATTGCCTAGAAGGATGCTTCCCCTTGGAATGTTCACTCTTCACATGTTTCACAAGGGTATGTTTCTGCATATCGCCCTAGAGTCACCCAGGGGGGTCCACATGAAGCCTGTGTGGGGTGGGAGTTGATGGGCCCAGTCGCACTAAGTCTGTGTCTGACTCTGGTTCTGTCGTTACCATCTGGTCTGTAGCCCAGGCCTTTGTCACATTAATCAGAAATGCTTTGTATTTCAATTTCAAATCAGGGCTCACATTTTTGTAAACCAAAAATGAATTGAAAATGGCACAATTTATAAGCCACAAGGCAACTTTCTTTGTCCACTTTATTGTTTTCCTTGGAAGAGAATAATAGGCCAAGTACTGATTGGCTCTATCACCTCCCTTCGTGAACACATTACACTCAGAAATACAAATAGGCTTCTTTACTTGTCCATGTCTCCTTTGAAAATCAACCATCCTCGAATTGTGAATTGTGGAAATCATATTCATAACACGAGTATCCCTATCTCCAAAAACCAGTTCTGCTACTTCAGACACTTGTGTTGGGTCCGATGGAATTTGTTTCAGTCCCGGATTTCCAGTAAACTGTCCCAAAGTAAGCGCTTTGTCTACTTTTCCCCATGTGGCTGTCTCCGCAATGTTACTACCTGCATTTTCGTCAGAGCTACTGTCACTTTTACTGTCTGTGGCCACAATTCTTTGTTGTCCCCTGTCACTGCCACTGTCTGAGTCACTATCACTACACGTCTCACAAGGGAAGTCAGATAGATCATCGGAGAACAAGTCGGATATTTCTTGTTCTCTGAGAGATCGCTTGTTCTTCAACCGTTTTCGTCCTTGAGCCATATTGCACTACTAATTTACTGCCTGGTACATACAGCTTGAAGACAAACAATGGCATTTTCCTTTGGAGTGGGATAGGAAAACAGCGAGGTCATGTTACTGACTACTAAGCAAACATTTGGGAGGTCTATTACGCACCAGTTATGCATCTGTGCGGCGCCAGAGCAAGGTACAGTGTGTTGCAACATAACGTGTCCTAAAATCATAATATTATGCGACCGGTCCACCACGTTTAAAAGCGAAAAGCATAATATTGTGTTAACATTGTAAAAGTAAAGGTATCCCTGTAAGAGCCATGGAGGCCCATACGATTGTGAGCCATCGAGAATCCCACATTTTCTCTAGACAACTGGCTCACAGAGGGCACTGAGGTTGTCAGCCTTATGCGCCAGCCGCCCTTTAGCCCCCAGGAAGGTTCCTGGTACTCATTTCTGTTAGAAGTTGAGTCGACACCAGGGCCATAGTGTGGCTTGAAGAATTAGGTAAATTGAAAAAAATTCACCTCATTGGAACTTGAACCCACGACCTTCCAGCTTGTAGCATAGTGCCTCAAATAACATTGCTACTGCATGCCCCTTAACATTGTACCTAAGGAAAACCACTGAATAAAACAAGAATCTCTTTCAAAAGCAGCAGTTACTTAAAGGTACTACATGCATATATATCTATAGATAGGATTGCCAGCCTACAGGAAAAGACTTGAAATCATGGCCTCAATACAAGGCAGAAGGGTTATTGGTACAACTGCAATGTCCAGTGTTTTACTGCAGTGTTAGCCTACCTTACATTAAAGCAGCCTGATTTCATGAGCTACAATATAATAAAATAACTGATTCAGATTGAGAAAATTCAAGAAATATATCTTTCTTACCCTTGTTAGGATGGAAGAATGTAAAGAGAGGCTGTGTGGGTGCTAGTTGAAATCTATTTTGCAGGTGAACGACGTACGGAGTTTCAAAGTGATTCAGTGCATGTTTGTCCTTCTCTTTGCAGAGTCTAACCTCATTATACAGTTTGGAAGACTGGACGGGACACAAGTACGATGTGTAACTGCATGGGATACTGATACCATCATCTGTGAACAGACACTGAAGGTATTTACTGCAGTATTTACAAAGCAAGAAATGTAGAAGTCATTCACTCATCTTCAGGAATACAATCACATTGCCATTAAGCAAATATGGAATAAGTATAGAAAAAATGCCATAACATAATAAGTAATCAAGGGGAAAATTAACAAACCTAGTAAAGTCCACATTGGTAAACATTTTTCTGATAAGTTTCCTATCCAGAATGTTCTAAAACAAGGAGATGCCTTATTGCCATTGCTTTTCAAGCTTGCTTCAGAATATGCCATTAAGAGGGTCCAGGAAAACCTCGTGCGACTGAAATTAAATGGGACATATCAGCTGCTGATATATCCTGATGACATGGATCTATGGGAAAATAACAGATACTGTACAGAAAAACTGAAGTTAGCAAAAAAGTTAAGTCTAGACGTTACTGCAAAGAAAACTAAGTGTACATTGCTGTCTTGTCACCAGAATGCTGGGCAAAATCAGGACATAAAGATAGTTAATATACCTTCTGAAAATGCAGCACATTTCAAATATTCTGAACAACAGCAACAAAAATTTGATTCAGGAGGAAATTAAGAGGAGCCTGAACTCAGGTAATGCTTAATGCCATTTAGTCCAGAACCTTTTGTCATTTCATGTGCTGTATAAAAACAAAAATTACAATACACAAAACTATAATTTTGCCTGTGGTTCTGTATTGGTGTGAAACTTGGTCTCTGGCATTAAGGGAGGAACAAAGACTGAGGGTGCTTGAGAACAGGGTGTTGAGGATAATATTTGGGCCGAAGAGAGATGAAGTGACAGGTGGTTGGGGAGAACTGCATAATGAGGAGCTTCATAACTTGTACTCTGCTCCAAGTATAATTAGAATGCTCAAGTCAAGGAGGATGAGATGGGCAGGGCATGTAACATGAATGAGAAGAGGAATGCATATTGGATATTGGTGGGAAATTCAGAAAGAAACAGACAACTAGACATAGGTGGGTGGATAATATTCAGATGGATCTTACTTGTAGAGGTGATTGATCTGGCTCAGGATAGGGTCCAGTGGAAGGTTCTTGTGAACATGCTAATGAACTTTCAGGTTCCATAAAATTCTTGAGTAGCTACACAACTGGCAGCTTCTCAAGAAAAGCTCAGATCCACTGAATTAGTTAGATACTTAGTGTAATGCCGCTAAGGTTACGTACATGCAGATTTAGTTTTTGGGGAAAAATTGGAATAATAGTAGCTAGACTGTAAGATTAAGAAACAGCCATGATGAAACAATTCAGGAAGCTTAGGTCTACAAAGAATTGTAACAGGGAATGCCTGAGTCATTAGAATGCTAACCCGGCAGTGTAATAGCGCTGACATTGAGGAACGAGCTATATGAAGTGGGTCATAAACACTATGGCAGGAGGAAAACGCTGAGTCGGAGGAGGCGGTAGACCCGAAAGAGTCAACCCCTTCTCGATGGGCAACCAATGAGGGAGGCCAAAATCACGTCAGAATGGGCAGGCAACCTACCCGGAACTCAAAGAATCAGCAAAGAGAGGTTATATAAACCCTAGAAAACTTAATCAAAAAACCTTTTGCCTTTAGACTTTTGATTGATATTAAGTAACTTAGAGTTCAGGGGAGGCTATCGCCGAGAGAGCGATGGCCGTGAGTGTGCGCTGGTTGCTGATGACGAGCATCTTCTTCCTCATCTCAAGTAAGTGAAACCATCTTCATATAGCCATGAACATTAAGTGTAACAGTGATAATTTTAAAGTGTAAAACCACAGGGAAAGATAGGCTAGATTGATTAGGTTCATCAGTGATCCCAAGGCGTAGAATACCCGCCAGTAGGGTGACAGGAGGTAGAACCAACGATGACTGCAGGTTCATTATCCAGTGTAATACAACCGACGAACGTCGGCACAGTGTGTGTATAGTGTATATAATGATGTAGGTAAATAGGATAGGAATGTGTAAGAGTTTAATTCAACCCAACATTTCCTTAAGTGTTACCCTCTTCCTTGACGACTCCAGGACCTCCCAACGCTCCGGCGAATTACGAGTTAAGCCAGGACAGGGACGCAAGCTATGATAAGTTTACGAGATTTCTTGAAATAACAAGATGGTGGCCGCATACTAAACGGGGTGACAGAGCGGGATATTTCCAAGCCCTCTGTCATCACGGCAGAAGATAGGTGTAGCGGCGGCTTAAGAGAGGTACAGCGGCGGAAGCGGTGGAGGTACCTCCACGCCCCCCCTTCACGCCATAACACTTAGTATGGCCTATGTCACCTACCATTCTGAAAGGGTTTTCACCTTCTAGCCCAAGGTTTCTCCAAGCAGTGACGTGGGACCAAAGGAAGCTTGGGTGAAAAAGATGAATGCAGGAGGGAAGCAGGAATGGGCAAGGAGCATGCACACAAGAACAATGCCACATGCATGTCCCACATGACACATAACAATAAATATTCACATTTTCTCTCTGCCAGAAATCACTTCAATGCAACCAAGAACTTTGTTGATGCCGCATACTGAACACATTACCCATCAAACCCAAGCCATCTACAGCATCACTGTTGCTTTCGTAAGTAAAGCAAAGTAAGCGATAATCTTTAAATACAAACCCTTCAGGAACTTTTGAGCCCCATCAAGGCATTCAGGTGAAAGTTCATTATCTCCAAACGAACCCAAAAGTTCAGATACCAAAATATCTGCCTTCTCAGGTGAATTCCAATCTCTCATATCACACGAGACCACAGTCACTTGGTCACCCCAGAATTCTTCCTGTTGAGCCTGTAAACTGTGCAGAAGAGAAACATTTTGTAAAGGGTACAGACCGTAACATAGTACAGAGAATTCCAAATGACATCTTTTGCAGTTTACTACGAACACCCATGGCCTACTTATAAATGGCACCCCCCCCCCAAAAAAAGAGAGTGAGAGAGAGAGAGAAAAGAAAACCCGGCTACATCAAGCAATATTGATATTTAAACAGCATTATAACATACAATACTGAATTCAATCAAACCTGTAAAATGGTTCATGAGCTATATGGAAAACTTCATTTATGGCCTGATGTAGAGCAGACTTCGTAACTGGTCAATATGGCAAAAATCTGAACAGCTGACTAATGCCTTGCACACATCCCTCACACCAAATTTTATCAACATGGCTTATGATGGGCATGAAAAGTTCATGGTCTTACATAAAGTATTTTTTATGAATAAATATTGCATAAAATTACAAGTGTCCAAAAACTTTTAGCAAAGTCTCAGATAAAGTAAAAACTCTGAACTGGTTTGGGTACTTGTACTAGCAGAAAAGCCCACCGAAGTTCAGCAGAAACCATGTGATTCAGGCTATCCTTCACCCTCATTCTTCCTTTCCTTTATCTCATTCCCTCATTTTTCTGGTAAAACAGTGAATTAGGTTACATCTTTATCCTTCAGATGAGCAAAGTCTCGAACATAAAGCTGTCATGCGTGTACATTTAGGAACAACAGTAGATGCTAAATGGTGATGGAAAGAGAACGTGAAAAAGAAAATAGAACTTAACATCAAATACAGGGAAGTGAAGTGGCTCTCGGGTAGGACATCCCAGCTATCAATACAAAATAAAATATGAGTACATAACCAGGACATAAAACCGGTCTGGACGTATGGAATACAGCTGTGGGGATATGCCAGTAACATCCGATAGATACAGGGATTTCAGAAGAAAGTGCTGAGGGGAATAGTAAATGCCCCTTGGTACGCCCATAATAGTGACATCAACAGGGATCTTGGCATTAGGATGGTCGCTGCCGAAATTAAAAGGATAACCAAGAAGCACGAAGATCAGCTTCACCACCACAGCAATGTTGAAGTGATACAGCTTGACAAGAGGACAGTGAGAAGGCTCAAGAGACTCAAGCTGTTTGAAGTAGTCTAGTGCAAGTGCGTGTTAGTGAAAATACTGAGATGCAGACTCAAGCCGCTTCAACTAGCGCGACAACAATGCGCTCAAGATACCAGATTCTGGGACACACCGGTGAGCGTAGTCTTAGATGTTTAGTTATAGTAGTAGTAGTTTCAATCAGAAGAGAAGTGCTTGCCAGTCTCGGACTAGTTGCATTGTTAGTTCATTCATCACTAATCTGTCAAGACGACAGGTCCACAGTCTCTTTGAAAACAGTCCCTCCACTTGATGCGATCTAGAGCTTTCTCCTCCAAATGAGAATATCCTCTTCTGTCCCCAAGGTCATCCAGCATCTTCTTACGTCTTCTGGTCACTTCTATCCGCCCCTCTATCTTTCCTTCAATAACTTCTTTTAGAAGGCAGTTACCACAGAAGATATGACCAATCTAATTAGCCTTCCGTTTAGGATATTCCTCTGCTCACTGACTCTAATTAACACTTCTTCATTTCTCACATAATCGGTACAACTGATCTTCCCCATCCTTCTCCAACAGCACATTTCGAAACTTTCCAGATGTTTCCGATCTACTGCCCTAAGTGTCCATGTTTCAGCCACATACAAAGCAATGCTCCAAATGTAGCATTTCACTAGTTTCTTTCTCAAATTTAAGTCCAATTTGCTGGTAAAAAGATTCTTCTTCTTGCTAAATGCAGCTTTTGCCATGGAAATCCTACATTTAATTTCACCATTACAACTTCCATCATCTGTTAAGAAGCTACCCAAATATTTAAAACATTTCACATTCTCCAGTTGTTTTTGGTCTATCTATTGTGACTGGGGTTGGTTGTCTCGAAATTGTCATTACTTTTGTTTTCTCCACATTCATTTCCATGCCATAGCACCTTCCAATTTCGATTAGTCTATCAATCATGCCCTGTAGCACAGTTTCTTCCTTAGCCATTAACACAAGGTCATCTGCATATTTCAGAGTTTCAATAATTTGCCCTCCTAATTTGAAGTCTCCAAGCCCATTCAGAGCTTCTTTGGTAAGGCATTCGCTGTAAAAGTTGAACAAAATTGATGATAAACAGCATCCTTGTTGAACTCCTCTTCCCATCTTCACACTTCTTGTCTCCCCTCTGTCCAGTTGCACTCTTTCTGATCCATGTACAATTTACTAATCAATCTTCTTTCACGCCAATCGATACCTATTTCCTTTAGGATCTGCATTAATTTGGTCCAATTTACATGGTCAAATGCCTTCTGCCAGTCTATAAAGCAAGCACACAGTTCTTCATCTATCTCAAAGTTCATTCTGCTATAATTCTCATCATTCCATTTGCATTGTTAGAATGTAAAAAGAAAGTGTGCACATATGTTCAAACTATTATAGCAAGAAAATGATATAACCCAGTCAGATAACATAAGCCAATGATTACATGCACACAAAACCATCACCATAGTACCGCTGCCACTGGGTGATAACCCATTTGCAGTTAAATAACAACAAAAATAATAATACGTGGTGCAATTCAAAAGTTCCCGAAATTTATTAATAAAAACTATTACATCTTATCTAGATCTTATTCTGCACCATCACCTTCAAAGTAGTCCCCTTGGGAGCGCATACACCAATCCCAGCGTTTCTGCCACTTTTCAAATGCATCCTGGAAGTCTTTCTTTGTTAGGGTGTTAAGTACCGTCTGTGTATCCGCTTCAATTTCCTCAACTGTATCAAATCTTCGCTCCTTCAACTTGATTTTCATCTTGGGGAAGAGAAAGAAGTCGCGAGCTAAGTCTGGCGAGTACGGTGGGTGGGGAACAACTGCCATCTTGTTTTTAGTCAAAAATTCCTGCACAACGTAAGCTGTATGCGGTCGTGCATTGTCATGGTGGAGTACCCAGTCGTTCATGCGCCACTTCTCTGGACGTTTTCTCCTCATGTCCTCCCTCAAACGCTTTAGAACACTGCGATAGAACTCTTTTATTGACTGACCAGGAGGGACGAACTCCTTATGAACAATCCCGTCAATATCAAAAAAACAGATCAACACGGACTTAATGTTGTTCTTGACTTGTCGAGCTTTATTTGGCCGAGGTGAAGAAGGGCTCTTCCATTGTGACGATTGCTGCTTGCTTTCAGGGTCGTAGCCATAAACCCAACTTTCGTCACAGTGACAACCTTCGAAAGAAAGTTTGGATCCTCTTGAAGCTGTTGCTGAAGTTCCCTGCAGACATCCAAGCGATGCTGCTTCTGTTCATTGTGCAGCAGTCGTGGCACAAACTTCGCCGCAATCCTCCTCATGTTCAGTTCCTCTGACAAAATTCGTTGACATGTACCATAACTTAGTCCCAAGGTGTTACAGAGGTCTTGGATGGTCAGTCTACGATCTTGCAGAATCAGATCCCTTACTTTCACGACATTTTCTGGTGTTTTGCCCGTTGACGGCTGTCCCGAACGATCGTCATCATCAGTCAATGTTCGGCCATTTTTAAAACGCTTATACCAGTTGTAAGTTTGTGTCTGGCCTAAACTGTTTTCACCAAAAGCTTGCTTCAACATTTGGTGCGTTTCTGCAGCGGTTTTCCCAAGTTTAAAACCAGACTTTATACAGACATGCTGCTCTTTCAGGTCAGCCATTGCAAAACCGCAAACTCACGGAAACACAACAGTGGAAATACGTTCACCAACAATAAAACCAACCACTCAACTCGACGCCGCTTACCACACTGATTCAAGAAGGATGTGTGAGAAGACATCTAGTGGTATTTCGATGTACTCATATCCATTCACGCGCAAAATTCAAATTTCGCAAACTTTTGGATTGCCCCACATGTAATACAGGCCTATTGGCCCAGAATGAATTCTGGTTTCCTCTCTCTGCTACCAACCATTTTTGTTGCAACATGCATATATTGCCTGACTGCAACCTCACCACCCTCAACCCAGACAGTGGAAGCAAATGTTCCATCAAAACATAATATCCACCTACAACACTATACAGTACCACATCCTGGATCACAATTTGGAGAATAGTTTTAATTTATGAATAAAGGAATTCCTTGAAGCTTGTGCCACAGCACAACACATCATTTAACTGCAGTCAATCATTTCTAATATAATTATAAGTTTATTTATTACAGCATTCTTTGGTAGTCTGTAGCCTTTATTTTGTTCTTTCACATCTTTCTTTAATCTTCATTTGATACGCCAAAGTGAACAACAAAACTTACGTAACCACAGCATTGGGATTTTTTTCCACTGCATACACCTTTATCTTCCTATCTGCTTTTTGAGCTGCGTTCAATGCAGCACGGACAAGTGGCCCTCTACCAGCACCTACAACCATCACGACACTGAAACAATACACATATTACTAAGTTTCAGTTTACATAACATACACACTACCTCTGAAAGATATGTGTTTGTTACAGTATAATATGGCCTCCTGCCAACTGCAGTTCTGCTTGCTACCATTCAGTCCAGAACCTTTTGTCTTCTCGTCTGCTGTCCAAAAACATATGAATTAGAATATACAAAACTAAATTTGCCTGTAGTTCTGTATGGGTGTGAAACTTTGTCTCTGACATTAAGGGAGGAACACAGACAGAGGGTGTTTGAGAACAGGGTGTTGAGGAGAATATTTTGACCGAAGAGAGATGAAGTGACAGGAGGTTGGAGAAAACTGCATAATGAAGAGCTTAGTTAGTTAGTTAGTTATTGGAGAGGGTGGGTTTCCCCATGCACTTAGACCTGTATTGGTCCATTGTGCTTCCCTCTATGATTTCTACCAGTCTCTATATCCTACCGGTACTGGTGCTTACCATCAGTCCCGCCCAACCAGCAAGACCGGCTCTACTGGCTGAGAGGTATCTATACTGCTTCCCCCATCTACCAGAGGTATTAGAGACTGCTGTCGGGCGGGAAACGTCCGTAATTTGGCTCAGTGACCTCCTTTGGAGATATGAGGTTCTTTTACGTGCCGTAAAGCTACAACACGGGACCCACGGCTTAAAGTCCCTCCCGGAGGACTTGTTCCCTGAATTTTTCCCCCCTTAAAAATTTGACGACCTCCGCCGGGTATCTGAACCCGCGTACTACGAGTCATGAGGTGGGAACGTTACCTCTAGACTACGGAAGCCGCTAATGAAGAGCTTCACAACTTGTACTCTTCTCCAAGTATAATTAGAATGATTAAGTCAAGGAGGATGAGGTGGGCAGGGCATGTAGCATGAATGGCGGAGAAAAGGAATGCATACAGGATATTGGTGGGCAAGCAGGAAGGAAGGAGACCACTGGGAAGACCAAGGCACAGGTGGGTGGACAATATTAAAATTGATGTTAGAGAGATAGGATGGGATGGGATGGGATGGGATGGTATGGACTGGATTGATCTGGTTCAGGATAGGGACCAGTGGAGGGCTCTTGTGAACATGGTAATGAACATATATAAGATAAACACCATCTTAAGTGTAACAATTTAATTTAGTTCTTTCTTCTTTCCCCTCACTCCACACTACATGTTTCGGCCCTAAATGGCCATCATCAGGTGTGTATTCTTACGTAGCTGTTACACTGGCTGTTAAAATTTAAAATCACCTGTCTTTCTAATTGTATAAAATGTTTGTTAACCTACACACGTTAATTTTGATTTCTAATTAGCACTTTTTTAAAACTTTAATTCAAGTTAAAATACCTATAAAATTTCTGTTCTTTTCCTTTTTCAAATTTTAAAATTAAAATTTTCCTCAGGGTACATGCCCTATGTCTAAGTGCTGCAGCGGCCACTTCTTGTTTATCGTTGTTCAGGTATTGTTCTGTGTAGGCTCTCTCTGTGTGTGTCGCTGCTTATCTTTAATATTAAAGATAAGCAGTGACACACACAGAGAGAGCCTACACAGAACATGTACACAGGGCATGTACCCTGAGGAAAATTTTAATTTTAAAATTTGAAAAAGGAAAAGAACAGAAATTTTATAGATATTTTAACTTGAATTAAAGTTTTAAAAAAGTGCTAATTAGAAATCAAAATTAATGTGTGTAGGTTAACAAACATTTTATACAAATAGAAAGACTGGTGATTTTAAATTTGAACAGGCAGTGTAACAGCTACGTAAGAATACACACCTGATGATGGCCATTTAGGGCCGAAACATGTAGTGTGGAGTGAGGGGAAAGAAGAAAGAACTAAATTAAATTGTTACACTTAAGACGGTGTTTATCTTATATATATTGTGCGAGTGTAACAGGATGCTCAAATATAATATGGTAATGAACCTTCGGGTTCCATAAAATGCTGGGAAATTCTTGAGTAACTGCAGATCTGGCTTCTTCTCCAGAAGGGCTCTGCTCCATATCTAAGTACCCAGTTTTGCAGGCACATGTGCCATCAGAGTAGTGTAATGTGTGGCTGATGATCCTACTTACGCAACTTTGGAATCTTTTTCTTCATACATTATCATGTCCAGAAGAGCTCCATATATGGCGCGCTGGTATTCATTGTATTTGACAGGATCCTTTTCAAAAACTTCATATGTCTGAGATTCCAAATTATCCATGAGGGGTTGAAGAGGGCACTGCAGATAATCTTCATATCCTCGTGCATACGCTACCAAAGGATCTGTATGTGACGTGTTCTGAAAATATTTAAGAAGCAACTGCACTCATATTTTTGGTTTTCACACTGGTGAAGAATTATGGTGTGATCTTTCGGGTTGTGACACCATGCACCCAGCTACCAGACTACATGGTATCATAAAGAACAAGACAATATAATTTCGATTCGATTTTGAAAAAGATAAACCATTAACAAATCCAGTTTCTGGATATTTGTTTCCATTATTCCTCAAAATAGAGGACCCATGTGTTATGATTTTGAATATTTGGACCTCAGAGGGAGGAAGTAATATGCCAGAAAAAACTGTATGAGGAGCTTCATAATTCATACTCTTCAACATTTATCATTACGACGACCAAATCAATGAAGATGAGATCGTTGACAGCATGCAGAAACCATCAGCAACAGAAGTTTTGGTGGGGAAACCTGAAGGAAAGAGATCATTACAGATGCCTAGGCACAGATGAGAGGATAATACTAAAATGGATCTTAAAGAACAAGGTGGGAAATTGTGGACTGGATTCATTCGGTTCAAAAGACGGACCACAAACTGACTCTTGCAAACGCAATACCGAACCTGAGTTCAAGAAAATGCTAGGATTTTACCGAGTACTTCAGTAATTATAATCTTCTAACGGACACTGCTATAGGGAGACAATTGTTTTGATAGTTATAACCAGGAAATATTAATTTATATTATTTTAGGATTATTATAATGATGATGGGGTTAAAAATTTAAAGTGTTTGGGACAGAAATGCAACTTAGGTTTCAACACACCCACCTGCCACAAATGATCCAAATACTGCTGATAGTATTTTGAACAACCATGCATGATAGCTCCTCGTATCACAACTTGCACATCCAGCGTTGCTAAGGATTTTATGAGATTCTGGTGTGGACGTAACAGCACAGGGTAGCCCTTCTTATTGGTAGCAAATAATGTTGTAGATAGAACCAAACACTTGATTGGTTCTCCCATCCAGCGAGCAACTTCTTCATCAGATGGGATATCTGGAGTCACTTCTAGTGCTAGACCTAGCCTCTTCTCAAAGTTGCACACGGAACGAAACTTGTTCCACCTACAACACATTGTGAGAAACACATTTCAGTGAAGGAGCATCTATTTGGTGGAAATGTCAGAAATGGCTATTTTCATTGCATTGCAAATAAAACTATACGATTCATTTGGAGTCATAACTTCTTGGCCTGTAGTCTGCAAGCAAACTATACTGACCGAGTGACAACTGTTTGTCGCTGAAGTTAGTGCCAACTTTAGCGAAGAGAGGGTGTCACGTGGTCAGTGCAATGAATCCCCACAGCTGTTAATCTCGGATTTCTACACCAGAGCTGCTACTTTGTTCAAATAGCATCTCAATTATTGTCATGAGGCTGAGTGGACCTTGTTCTGGACCCACTACTTCTCAGAAAATCTGGTAGTGCCGGGAATCGAACACGGACCTCTGGAGCCAGGAACTCTGACCATTAGACCACAGAGGCACATCTTAAATCATCTGGAGTCATGGAATTAATAATTATAAATTACTCAACAATTTATGGATGAAAATTACATTTTTGGGAAGTACATACTTTAGTAATTGCACCATGTTTGTATATACAGTAAAACTTGGTTATAGCAACATCGGTTTCTGCGACACCTTGTCTATTGCGTCAAATATTCAATGGTACAAACTAATTCCTCATAAAGCAACTGTTTTTATACCTTGCTTAGTACGACATGCACAAATGCATCAACCTCGTATGTAACGTCATTTTCATTCCTGAATTTCTCTGATATCGACATTGAACGTAATTTAGAAAGTGTGTATTGGGCAAGTAACAGGAAACAGATGAAGATAACTGATTACTGTACTCGTATCTAGGTACAGTAAGGCACAACAATTGATGTAATCTACTGTAATTTGGTGAGTAGGCCTACCTTTAATATACAGTATTAGTGCGGTGTGTATTGTCAGTGAAAAGCGCTGTAATATGTCTTTGATATTACACATTTGGGCAATTTCACATTAATGTTACGTTAGTCTGTACTTAACTACGTATTTCACTAAAAAATGCAACATTTTAACTCGGTTTTTGGTAGATTTTTACGTGACTAACATAAGGCTACTGTGGAAGTGCCCATTTCGGTTACAACGACACTATTTTTAGGTCCCTTTGATGATGTTATAACCAAGTTCTACTGTATTATTGTATTACATGTGGAATCATAGACCAAAGGAAATGGTGCAAACTACTGGCAGGCAGGCACAGGTCAAGGTTGTAACATACAAAGTGCTGTCAAATCTCAATGTCACGGGTATATTACAGAGTGATTTATAATTATTAATTATGGGTCTCTGCTGAGTGACTCAAACTGTACATCGTGCTATAAAAGATGTGATACTTCCACTGTGGTGAATGTTCGTATTGTGATCTTCTGGGTTAGGACACTGTGTAGTCTGGTACATACCAACATTTTGGAGTGTCACATTCATGGCAGGAGCCTCACCTGAAGATAGAGGTAGCACGCTTCTCCAAAACAGTGGTAACCATGTACCAGACTGTTACATCATCACCACCCAGGAAATGCTGTCATTCCATTAATTACATTTCATTTTAAAATTTCGATGATACAAATATTTCTGCAGTTTTAAAATAATTTTAGTATAAATTTGAGAAAGCAATATGAAACTGATGCTCATTAATCTCACAAATTATCAGTTATATAGAAGGTAGACCCCGACTTACACAGTACGTGTATTCCTTATGGTGGTCATATGACTCAAACTTTTTGTTACTCTTTTGGCTTCAATGCCTTTTAATTCTAACTGAAAAATAGGGAACTCATAATTTTAACTCTTCATTCGGTTTAGCCATTTATGAATCCCCCCCATTTTAAATTTTAGATGAACAGCTTCAATATTTTGTTATCATCACTAAAGGGTTGTTAACCTTTAAGAGACGGCCATTTAAATTCCGGTAATGACTGTGGGACGGATTTAATTTAAATGCCCGCGATTATAGAGCAATAAAAACTGTAATCATTTACTAAAATTGCTGTGATTTCTACAATTTTTGTGATAAACGAACCAAATAAACGCTGCTTTTTTCCAGAAAGAATATAGAATCAGATATTGTAATTTACAGACTTTATAAAATGTGTAAAAAATTTTACACTGATTCCAAATAAAAAATTCCCCAATTTGTAGTCTGTCTACAAGAATTCATACAGTTCTTGCAAGTATGAATGCGGCTTATGTGGCAACACAGGCGGATGTTTAGGCTTGCGTGTCTCAATGTCTAGTCACGTAGGTTCTTTCGGTATGCAGAGATGTGGGCAAGTCTCTATCTGTTCATAAGAACCCTGATTGTTTATTATCGCTTATAGCTACATAACAAGTACTCTGTTCTTATAAACTAGCCCAGCAGTGTCAGAAGTTTCAAGGCTAGCATCCTTATAAAACAGCCCAGCAGTGTCAGAACATTCAAGGCTAGCATTCTGTGAAGTTGTGAATCCACCATGGCGTCGTCTCCTTTGGAAGACTTGGACATATTTCAGCTCATACATGACTCCGAATCAGAATGTTGTACCGACAATTCTGAGAGTGGCGTTGAGGAAAGTGAATCAGAAATTGATTTCGACGAAGACCCATCATCTTCGTCGGCAACCTGGGGACCACCACACCAGCATGGCAGGAGGCATGTGAATAATTATTCAGGTGGAGCTGTGGGGTTAAATACCAATGAAGCTCCACACGTAAATAAGGATTCCACCCCTTTCTGCATTTTCATGCTGTATTTTGCAGGGATTATCCATCTGCTGGTGGAAGAGACGAACAGGTACTACCATCAGCACGTAGACAGACGTCAAGACGGACCTTCTCCGCGGCCTGACGTGACCGAATCCGAGATGTTTCTGTTTCTAGGAATAATCATTCAAATGGGACATGATATTAGAGGCAGACTAAAGGACTACTGGTCGACTCTAGAACAATTTGCCACGCCTTTCTACTCTAAGACAATGAAACGCGACCGTTTCCTACACATTCTTCGTTTTCTTCATTTTGCAGACAACAATACAGAAACTGACAGGAATGCCAACAGTTATGACCGACTATGGAAAATTCGGACCATCTTCGACACTCTCAATGACGCACATGAAAAATATTATAACCCTTATGAACATTTGGCCATTGACAAAATAATTGTAAAATACAAATGGAGGGTGGTTTTTAGGCAGTACATTCCTAAGAAACACAAATGTTTCAGAATCAAAATCTTCAAAATTTGTGACGCCGCTGGGTATACTTATGACATGAAAGTTTACCTAGGAAAAGACAGGACATGTGCCGACCAAGACGTGACAGAGACACATGCTACAGTTAGAGGCCTATGCAGACGTATTGAGGGCCTAGGTCACAAACAGTACATGGACAATTTCTTTTCTTCACCCGACTTGTTTGATGAACTGATGACAAAGAACATAACGTGCTGTGGGACAGTCAGACCTAATTGGAAGGGCTTGCCTGACGATTTTCGACGAAGACAATTTCAACTGAAGAAAGGGGACATTCGTGTTAGGGTGAGACAGAACTTGACAGCACTAGTTTGGAAGGACAAACGTGACGTTTACATACTGACAAATATGCACTCTCCTCCAGCAGAAGGCAGTTTCTGTGATGAGCACGGAAATGCCATGAAGCCAGCAATTGTTGCTAACTACAACAAGCACATGGGTTATCTCGACAAAGCGGACAGAATGGCAAACAGTTATAGCATCTGTCGTTGAACCTGGAAATGGACAAATAAACTATTTTTCCATCTCCTGGATCTGACGATTCTGAACAGTTACATCCTGTTGTCATCCTGTGGCATGAAATTGTCATACAGAGAATTTCGTCTCGCCCTTGTGCAGAACATGCTGGAAGGGGTCCACCTCGCCCTCAATGGCCCAGGGGTCGACCCCCTGCCGTTTCATCGGAGATATCTCGATTAGAGGAGGCCAAACCACATCACTGGCCGACTTCCTCTACTTCGCAACTGAGTTGTCGTGTGTGCTCTTCACGTGGGAAATGAAGAACCGTCCGGACAAAGTGCATGAAGTGCGACATCGGACTCTGCATTTCCGGATGTTTCCAAAAATTTCACACGAAGGCAACATTCCGTTAGTGACGCAGGTGGGAAGACAGACAACTTATAAAGCTGGTGTCCAAAAATCATGTAAGTAGAACAAGAATTTATAACTTAAAATTAGATTTTAAAAAGCTGTGCACACGCGTGGACTGTGTGACCACATATATGGTCATTCGTCCCCTTGACTTTATTTTAACGTCTACATATGTGGTCATTAGTCTCTAATCACGCTGACATGAAACTTCCTTAGGTCAATCGGTACGTGCATATGAAAGGAAAAGGGAAGTTGCAATAGCTCTGAAACTCATGTCCATGGTACAGTGACTTTGTCTGTGAGACTGTTCTGTGGTGAAGAGTCATATTACTTGTCACCAAATGAGGCCAACCGTTAATGCATAAGTTTGCTTCACAGAAGCAACGTTTAGATAACTTCGTGTATTTCCAAATAATAAATGAAAATATATTTTTCTTCTAAGTATGGTAGTTACCATTCCCATGTGTTCATTTCACTACCTCCGTGCAGTCTTCTGAAATCCTCTTCATCACTATGATAATACGAAGCTGCTATGGCAGGGCTTTCCATTGGTAAGTGGAGCCAGATCTATGCAACATTCAACACAGCAATTACTAAAGACGTTAATGCTTTCCCCAGCAGAAAGAGAATCCGAATATCCAACGTTTTGATGACTACTACATTAAACTGAAGTATGAGTTCTGGAGTCATAAAATTACTTGTAATGAACACTCGTCATTTCCTAAGTTTATATTCGTTAAACACAGGAAAAATAATGCATCATCTAAACTGAACTTTGGCTGGGACCAGTAAAATATTCACTATATAAAAAGATTAAACTGCACAATGAGGAGCTTCATAACATGTACGCTTCTCCAAGTATAATTAGAATGATCAAGTCAAGAAGGATGAGATGGGCGGGGTATGTAGCATGAATTGGGGGGGAAGAGGAACGCATATATGATATTGGTGGAAAAGCCAGAAGGAAAGAGACCACTGGGAAGACCAAGGCATAGGTGGGTGGACAATATTAAAATGGGTCTCAGAGAGACAGGATTGGATGGTATGGATTGGATTGATATGCCTCAGGATATGGACCGGTGGAGGGCTCTTGTGAACACAGTAATAGACCTACGGGTTCCATAAAATGCTGGGAAGTTTTTGAGTAGCTACACAATTGGCAGCTTCTCAAGAAGGGTTGAGCTCCATGAGTTAGTGAGTGATATAAAAAGATTTTAGCAAATGCAGAAACACCAAATTGGGATTTGACTGTACCTGGTAAGTACTTCCTGCTTGCATTTTATTATGAAGAATTCGTGCAAGATTAGTTTGGTTGTCTCTTCTAAGAGTGAACATAACTGCAGGGAGGCCGAGGTGGCTAGCATACGCCAATTCTTGGTTCAGCGCTTCCTCGGACTCTTTTCGAACGACCGGATCTTCGGAATCAACGTCGATATATGGCGACAGTTTGCCGACTATCAAATTATTCCAATCTGCAGAAGAAATAAAGGTCTGTATAAGTTATGATTTCATAGCAGTAATGTCTCAGACTGTAATCTTCCGGGCTACTTTGACACTGTGCAGCACTGTAAGTGCACACAAACATTCTGTAAGGACATGCTGATCCTTTTTTTCAATAGGGTTCATGTTTCTAATCTTAACTTATTTTAATGCTTCTTCCAGCTTCAGGTGAATGTTATAGCTGCATGGAAACCGTCAGGTTACATGAACAGACTACAAGATCTGCATGACAAGAGAAGACGGGAACCAATCAGGAGAAATGGGATTTTTATCTCCCCTCCTCCAAATATGGAACATGCAGCTGAAAGATATTTTCTGTACAGACTGGAATCCTTGTTCATAAGATGTGCCAAAAGTTACCTACCTGAACCAGCAAGAATCAGATCTGACCGGGTAAAAGCTCCAGGACGTTCTTTACTCTTTCCACTAATGAATTCTCTTTTAAATCTCGGATGAACAATTGGGAAACAAGTGAAGTCATATCTGGAAAACAAAGGAATATATATATGCTAGTGGAGTGGGACTAAGTCTTTTGTACTGCGGCCACTTCTGGCCTATTGTACCAGCCCCAGATGATAGATGAGGGTGATTGTGGAGCAATTGGTGGAATGAAGATTGGCAGGGAAAACTGAAGTACTCGGAGAAAACATGCCCCAGCGCCACTTTGTCCACCACAAATCCCACTTGACCAGACCCGGGATTGAACCCGGGCCGCCTCGGTGGGAAGCCAGCGACTAACCGCCTGAGCTATGGCGTGGCCTTCTATATATCCTGCTAACTTTGGTGTAAGATTTTACTGTTTAACTGACAACACAACAACAATGAAATCAGAGTTCACCACTAGAAAAGTATACTTTTTGGAACACAGTCCATAAGCTTTGAGCCTTTTGTTATGTCTGCAGACAAAACAATTTTGTTCAAATTACTCTGGTTGCTTTTGGAACTGCACTGCTGTCCTATTTGAAATTATGCTGTATCAGTGTTCTTTTGAAGAAACCAGGACGGCTCTGTCAGTGCAGTGATAAGGCAGCAAGCTAGACAACAAGAGAATTAGCATTTGAGTCTGTGTGATGGAAGAAATTTTTTGCCTCATCGTGTCCACCGTGAGGCACAGGTAGTTGTTTTCTTAGAGGCAAAGTAGCCAGGGTATGAAGATGACCACTCACCTCCATACAGTGCTGAGGTTAACACTGTATGGTGCTATACACTCCACACACACTCATACATCTTCACAGTGAGGTGCTTAATTATGCACAGATAAAACTTGTGCTAACATTTTTTCGAGAAAGCTAACAATAGCACAAACATGTAGCATCATGTCTCATTTGTGGCAGATCTAACAGTGCCTTCTGCTGATATTCTCAGGTGGGGAATTAATTTTTTTAAATAACTATGCTCAATGGCAATGCACAGGTAACTATGAGAACGTGCAGAATAAAAGATCCATACACAAGAAAAAGAAGAATATGCCTTTAGTCCTATCTTTGCTGCCATGGATTTCTTTGGTCTTGATGATTTGTAAAATCTCATATTTAAGAAACACGTCTATCAGACCACCTCTGTGGTCTAGTAGTCAGAGTTCCTGGCTACAGAGCCAGAGGTCTGGGTTCGATTCCCAGCGCTACCAGATTGTCTGAGTTTCAGGTCTGGAACAGGTCCATTGAGCCTCGTGAGGATAACTGAGGAGTTATTTGAATGGAAAAGTAGCGGCTCCAGTCTAGAAAACCGAAATTAACGGCTGTGGGGATTTGCTGCGCTGACCACAAGACACCCTCTATCCACTAAAGCTGGCACTAACTTCGCCAAGAAGCGGCGGTCGCTCAGTTGGTATAGATCGCTTGTGGACTAAAACCATGGAGTCTATTTTTTTGTATGCTTCTCTATGGCGAGTTGAGGCACTTAAAAATAAAGCAGAACAATATCTACTTTGGAACAGTGATAAATTCAGAATTATAAACACATAAAACTATGCTTCACTCCTTAGAAACAAAATGTATGTGAAAATATATTAGTTACCGAACCGACTGAGCTCAAAACAGCACAACAACTGTGTTGTAATGCAATGAAGTAAAAATTTTTGCCAAACATTTCCTCATTCTCAGAACCACGTACGAACACACTGATATTTTTGTGAGAGTACTGAACACTGTGGTTGAATGAATAGCATTCATGCTTAGTAGGAGATCAGCCATCCTAACAGCATGATTTTCATGATTTTCATCAAATGCTCCAGGGAAATATTGGGGTAGTTCCTCAAATTAGGCCATGGAAACTTCCTTCCACATCATTTCCAATTCCAGTGCAGTCTGAGATACTTAGTGTCATTAAGAAAACCATAAATAAATAAATAGATAATGATAAAGAAGAATGGAAACATGCATACCCTGCTTCTGAGGCACCCTGAAGACTCCCTCTGATATCTGGAACGCTGCAAAAATCCAACCCACAAGATGCACGGCGAGACGAGTTCGCCATCTTCATCAGGCTGACAACAAATACAGCTAAGAGAAACATTAAACTTAATATATGTACAGCAGAAAGGACAACAAAAAGCAACATGTTCAAGAATGGTTTTATATCGAACTGTACAAAGCTGACAGCCTACAGAACTTAGACATGACATGTTTTATTTATATGTTGTCATGAATATAAGGAACTGTCCTGTTTGCATATTCTGCAACCTTCCCAACTGGCTAACTCTGACACTGATGGAGGCAGTACACACCTCTGAATTAGAACTTACCTACCTACCTACATACATAGTATAATTATCTACATGTTCTCGCCACCATCAGTTAGTAAGATACAAATTACTACCACATCAAACTTCCTATCATATACGTACTGGTTATGCAGCCAGTCTTACTTGGAATTCTCACATGGAATGAAGTCCATTTCTTAAAACAGAAGAAAATATGATTGTACCAGTCTTGTGACAAAAGGTCAATACATACAATTTACCCGAAAGATTTATGGCAGGGCTTCTTGCAGGTATGTGAATTCTTACAAATACACCCTTAACATAGGACTCACATGTACACTGATTATACGAAACTGACATGCAGTCAATGAAAAAAAAACTAGTGTTCAAGAATTATTACAAAACGGCAGAAACAAATAGCATGCATGAACGAAATAGTCATAAAAACTGTATATATACCTTTTCTAAGATATTTCCGATATATTTAATCAACAAAACACACTTCCCACTTCGACGCAAAAATCACACATGCTATGGCGCCATTTCCACTTGCAGGAAATCGAACGGCATTGGTATTTTCGCCATGCTGCATCTGCGATAATTCAGAACTACCAACCCAATAAATTACACCCCTATTTAAATTCATTGTCGTACTTTATCAGCGTAGGTTGATGTGACACTGTAGACTAATGGGTAACGTGGCACAGCATTGACTTACGATCTATCTTAAAGAAAATTTATATACAGGTGCCACACAATGTATGTGTTCATGAAAAATAAAATAAAAAATTCATATCCACACTTTTTGCCTGTCATGTTTCCACCTTTACGATCCTTTGTGCTTGGGAATGACTTTGACGTAGTTGAATTCACTGAGCACAGATGACAGGACGATTAAGCATGTTGCCTATTGCCATCTACCAAGAACATTGTATACCAGCAATAGTTAACGGGCGATGCATCGCAGTCCATATATGTTCCACCAGATGGAATTCAGCTTCTACGTACTGTGTGTCGCAGAGCATGAAATGAACGCATAATCGGAGGGCCACTTCTACTTGAGGAGCCGATTATTTTAAACCTGAAACTACTGAAAGAATTTAGACGAAATCTGGAACTGGGGAACAAATGAGAAATTAACTGATCTACAAATTTATGGTGAGAAACCGAGCAGGGAAGAGACCAAATTGGTAAATAGCGAGGAAAGTAATTAAAAATATCTTGAATACACAGGGGTTGGGGCGTGTGGATTTGGATAATTTGGTTCAGGGATCAGTGGTGAACATTTGTGATTACAATAATGAACTTTCGGCTTTCATGGGAGTCGAGGAATTTCTGGACTAGCTGAGTAACTATTAGGTTCACAATAACTACTCCGCCTCATGGAGTTACATATGTGACGGAGTTTCAGTAGGTCTATGACACTTCGCATATATTTTAAAAATAAAACTTAATATTTTTAGTATCAAAAAGTTGTTTTGAAATACAGGTCTCCTGTATTTATCAAGATACCTACGAAAAAATGAAGAACTGAGCATATGGCTGAAGCCGTACAGCTTCTGACTTCTATCCAGAGGCTCCCGAAACGAATGTTGGCCAAGACACACTCTCTGACAGAATTCTCGTGGTTTCCGTTACTTCCTCCCCCCCAAAGCAGACTGTCCACATCTTTTCCTAATCATAACTCACTCTCATCATTCGGCGTTACGTAACATTACTTACTTACAGCGGCATTAAATAAACTAAAAGTAGATTTGTCCCTAAGCTTAATTAAGAACTATGATTTGAAGTGGCAGGGGGTGGGGTGGCGGTAATGTTTCACGCATTGTTAACCTCCACATAAGATGGTGCCGATTTCTTAGTTTCAAGCCCCGGCCGCTTTAGCCCCAGGGGAACATTCCAAAGTAGTCATTGGTTAGGAGGCTGGGTGGGTCTCAGGGACGATCTGGACTCTATGGAGAAGAGAAGAGTCTCCCGTCCTTGCCAGGAAAAAAACTCAGAGTCCTCTAGCCTCTAGTCTAGTCTCTGTATCGACCGACGAACCATATTTATTTTCTGGGTTATTATGTCAGCATTTGTTCTGTATTGACTCGAATGATAGGGTTACTGATGAACAGGGCCCGGATTTTGATGACCTGAAAATATTTAAAAAATGACCTATAAAATTACCGAAAAAATCCAGCAAAATTACCTAAAATATGATACAAAAATGTAATATGCAGGGCCCGAATTTTGATGACCTGAAAATATTAAAAAATGACCTATAAAATGACCGAAAAAATCCAGAAAAATTACCTAAAGGAGAAAAGAAAGAACACTTCGCTTCCATGTTATTCACATTTCAGAAAACATATGAAGAAAAATTCCCTAAAATGTCCAAAACTGACAAGAAATACCCTTAGAAGTCCAAAAATTTACCAAAAAATTACCCCCAAAATGAAAGAATGACAAAAAATTACCTATAAAATTTACATTTCTGTAACCAGCAGCTCATATCCGAGATTTATATATTTAAGAGCATCGCATAGGATACAAGGGAAAAAATATGACATGTCATCAAAATCCGGGCCCTGCTGATGAATTATAAACTGTAAAAGTTTTGGAAAGTCGCGGTCCTCTCCTAATCCATCTTCAATTCTGGCATTTTCTTTGAGAGACTGAAGAAAACAAGGATAAACCTGTGAGGATAGCCACGGTCCCGAGCATTTCCGGAATACAAGTTTAAAGCCTTGCAACTAGACCAAGCTCGTTGTACACTATATAGACTCGAGTTACCTTCAGCGTCGTTAAACGAAGTATATGTAAATAAATACATAAATGGTAAAAGGTAAAGCTATCCCTGTAACAGGCCGTGGAGGCCCATATGGTTGTGTGACTTCGAGGCTCCCGCATTTTCTAGACAGTCGGCTCACAGACGGCGGTGACGTCAGCCTCACGCGTCGGCCACCCTTTAACCACAAGAAGATTCCTGGTACTCATTTCTGTTAGAGGCTGTTATGGCCCAAATTTGAGATTGAAGAGGGTATGGTATTACCCAAAAGCTAGAGACTTGCGAAAAGCGTTTCGCAGCTATTGCCGTAAATTGTAAACACCGGGACTGGCAATTAGGTTAAGAATGTGACTGCACAGCAGGTCTATGTAATCGCAGAGCAATAGCTTACCTCACTCGTTCACTGGATTTAATCGTAAGAGACTGCTTACGCAGCAATAAGACGCAAGGGGGTCCGCCCACAACCACCCATGAGAGCCAATGAGGAGGTGATTATGAGGATTGAGGACACTGAGGGGGAGTTACCTACCCTCTGTCGTCAACGCTGAATCAGCGAAAGAAAACCATAAATTAGGGAATTTCGGGGGATTTGACACGTTCTATCACAGAATATTCAATTGTCAGCCGAAGGCTCTTTTCAACATGGGTCTGACCAGCGGAGGCAGTGGGCCGGCATCTTGTACTACAGGTGGGTTTGTTTACGCATATTAGCCATGCTGATTGAGAATATCGTTGTTTCATAGTATTGGTGATAACAGTGTTGTTGAGCTATTG